CCCACCCACTTTCTGGGCCAGCAGGAATTCCATCCCAGTCTGTGTGCTCTGACAGAACCTGAGTGTCCTGCCCTGCCCTGCCCCGATTTTTTGTTTGTTTGTTTCTGTTTTCTGTTTTTCAGTTTGTTTTTGTCTATTTTAAAACTACTATTATTATTATTACTGTTGTCCTTTTTACTATTATTCTTTATTTTTCCCCTCCCAGGTTCTGGTTTTCAGCTTTTTTTCTTTTCCCGTTTCTGGTTGCAATTTTTATTATCTCTTTCTTGTTAACCCCGTTCCTTTTTTTCCTTTTTGCGTTTTTCCCTTTTTTTGTCTTCATTATTCTCCTTCTCTACCTTTTTTATCTTATTATCCTCTCCCCAGATATTGCAGAGTTTGGGGTTTTTTTTTTTGTTTTTCTTTTTCTTTTTTTATTTTTTTGGTTACTGCTCCTGTGTGATTACATGGAGTTTTTTTTTTGTCCATTTGCTTTTACTTTTTTGATGGTTATTCAATTGTTATTTTTGTCTAACTGAGTGGAATACAGCAACAGTCCCCCTATGACACAACTACACCCACACCTCCTGCAGCTTCACTTACTGGGTGAGAGCCATCACTTCCTTCTCCACCAATAGGCCAACAATAAACAATGACCAAGAAGAGCCTGACTCACCCTTGACAGCTCTTCACAAACAGTTAACAGAGATCTAAATACAACACCACCACATGTCTTAGAGACAACAGACCATCACAGTCCACACAAAGAAGCAAGATAAAGTGGTAGAAACAAGGGAGCAGGATATAGACCCAGAGCACATCCCTGAGGAAGAAGCAGCATTGGAACTCTCTGATAAGGAATTCAAAAGAATTATATTTAGTTATTTTCAAAGGATTGAGAGACAGACCAAAGAAAACACAGACAAAACTCTAGAAGAATTTTGGAAGAAAATACAAAAACAAAATGACAAAATAAATGAAAAATTAGAAATTATTCTAAATCTCCAGATAGAAATCCAGAAGATTAATACTAAATTGTCAGAAATAGATAACACATTAAAAGGGCAAAGGAGTAGAACTGATGCAATGGAAGACAGAATTAATGAGATTGAAGACAAATACCTGAATACTTCTTTGGAAAAGGATCAATCAGAAAAAAAGATCAAAACAAAATGAAGAAAGCCTAAGGGTCATGTGGGATACCATCAAAAGGAATAACCTTTTTAAATAAATTTTCAAGCCTAGAGTCTGAATGTTAGTTATTATTCTATACTATTTCAAAACTCCACTTAGAGGCATGAGCCATACCAACAGACCTAATGATTGGAATCAGTGGCCAATTTATAGTTTCAGATTTCCAGGACTTGACCAGGAAGTTCAGTTTGCCATTTAGTATCCTTCACATTTGGATACTACCTGATCTCCATTATTTCCTAAATATTCATGATCCCATTTGTTTACCCCAGTGATATTTGAGCCAGGTAGTCTTTGGTCTAATTTCCATGATATGCTATTTAATAATAGCAATTATAGATGATACTGCTTAGCAAATTAAAACAAAAAAGAATACTAAAAATGGATTTTATGTATCATATGAAGTATGTCATTGTAGTGAACAGTAGTGTCAAACAAAAAAACAGCCATTCTTTATTCTAAGGTCAACATTTGATTAAGAGGAAATAATTAACCATCCCTCATAAAACATAGATGACACATTGAAATATAAGGAGGCCTTCAGTTTCTGTAATAGAATTTTTTTGCTCCTGATATAAAATTTGTAGTTGTGTATTTATGTTACTTCTCAACATTGTAAATCTTAATCATATATTACATATTAATTTATTTGTTTGCCTTGTACATGAGATGTTACCTACATATAAATGACTTAGTCCTTTATTGGAAGACATTGGAAGGAAAAAATAAGAAAGTTTAACTTATGTGTGGTTCCAAATTCCTCAATATTTAATTGGCCTGTAGAACAGATAAAACTTACCTGCACTTTAAAAAGTCAGATCATTAGTTGCTTTGGGCAGAGGAAAAAGTAGAGTTTGATAGTAAAAGGATATAAGAGAGTTTTCTAGGTAGATGGAAATGTTCTCTATCTTGATTGTAGTGGTTACATGGGTATATACTTTTGTCTGGTATCTGGGCTGTACATGTAAAATATGTTAATTTAGTACTCAATGAAGTTGATTTAAAACAAAACAAAAAAACTCCTTTGTCATGGGACCAGAACTGGATGGTGTCCAGTTTATTATTTATTATTGAATATTTAGATCAAAGACTATAGAAGTATCCTCACCAAAAAGGGGGAAAATGCAGGCAGAATTTCAGATTTTCATGGACTCTAGATTTCCAGAAGTGATGAAGGTTGGATGAACCCCTGAAACTATTATCTATTTAACTTAGTTATAAACTTAGTTATCTATTTCTGTTTTAACAGAAGTACCGCACGTGGATGACTTTAACAGATAGAAATTTATTCTCTCACAGTTTAGGAGGCTAGAGGTCCAAATCCAAGACACCGACTCTTAGGGGAAGGCAGTCCCTCTGCCAGCTCACAGTTTAGGAAGAAGGTCTTTGTCTCCTTTCAACATCTGTGAGCCTGGCATTCCTTGGAGACCTCCACAAGTCTCCACACAGATCTTCCCCTGAGTCTAAGAGGTTCTTAGAGGGACCCCAGGTCCAAAGGGCACACACTGCTCCCACCTCATCTTTCTTGGTAGTTGTCAGGACCCTCAACCTCTGGTGGCTTGTTTGTCATTGTTGTTGCTGTTAGGTGCTGTCAAGTCGGCTCCGACTCATAGCGAACCTACATACCTACATATAACAGTCTGAAATACTGCCCCTTCCTGTGCCAGCCCCACAAATACTTGCTATACCTGAGTCCATCGTTGCAGCCATTGTGTCAGTCCATCTTGTTGAGGGCCTTCCCCTTTTTCATTGACCCTCCACTTTACCAAGCATGATATCCTCCTCCAGGGAATGGTGCTTCTGGCAACATGACCAAAGTAGGTCACATGAAGTCTGGCCATTCTTGCTTCCAAGGAGCATTCCCACTGGCTTGTTTAATCTCTTTTAGATCTCAAGATGCAGCCTAACCTTGTAGATTGTATCCTGTTGTTAACTGTCTCTGCTCATGCTTCATTAACATCAATAGAGGTTAAGATTTACAACACATAGGATATTTACATCAGATCACAATATGGCAGATAATTACATAATACTGAGAATCATGACTTAGCCAAGTTGACACATTTTGGAGAGACAGAATTCATTGCATGACACTATTGCCCTGAGATCATCTTTAAACCTTAACCCAAAGATACCCTTTAAAGTCTTCTTAAATTATAGTTTAACTTTAACTAGTTTGTTTTGTTGTTACTGTTGTTGTTGTTGTTGTTTTTAAAAAGGGTCTGCCTTGAGTGTTATGCTCTTTTAAGAATTGTTGTTATTGTTATGTGCCGTCAAGTCATCTCTGACTCCTAATGACCCCTCATTGGGTTTCCAAGGCAGTATCTTGATGGAAGTAGATTGCCCAACCTTCCTGCCGAGGAGTGGCTGGTGGGTTTGAACCACCAAACTTCTGGTCAGCAGTCAAGTGCCTTAGGCACTACACTACCAGAGCTCCCATCCAGGTGGTATCAGATTGACAAGAGCAACTCAAACCATTAGGGGTCAGTGAATTTATGTTAATGAGAGAGTAACAACTCAGAAAAGGAAAGTTAGAATGATTGCACAACTTGAAGAATGTAATCATTGTCACTAAAGGGTACATGTAGAAATTGTTGAATTGGTGTATGTTTTACTAGGTGCATTTTCAACAACAAAACAGATAAAAAAAAGCTAACACATAAAAACTATGAGTACATGGATTAAAAGTAAAACTCTTTTCATTGGACTGTTGTTAAAGGTGCGCATGTTTTTCAATGTCAGTTGACTAAAAAGTAGATTAAACCAGTGATAGGAGGTTTTTACTTTGCAAGCAAAACAGATTTTATTGACATGAAACATTGGTAGGCCGAAACTAGGCTAAAAATAAAATTGTCTAGAAATACAGTTTTCAAGATTTAGTTCTTAATGTTACACATTTACGAATATTAGTAAAATTTGTTGTAGATTTACCTGTCAGTAAATAAACATTTGCAAACTGCAGTAGAACTACTTGTTTTCTATAATGTGGAGAATGAAAAATTATGTAAACTAAATGTCACAAATTGCCATAAAAAAAAACAGACCTGACACCTTAGGAATGATTTTT